ATTACGAACCATGGAGCATTCCTTTTGATTTTTGTACATTTGTATATTTTTTAAGAGTCATCTTGATCTTTCCAAAATCAATAATAAAAAATTTCAAATTTTTCTAAGTATAGCAATATTTATTGATAAGTGAAATACAAAATAAGAAAATATCACAATTGCAATAATAATATTAAACATTAATGTAGTCTAATAAGAGACATGAAATTGATATTCTTAATTAAATCAAATTATAAGCAAAACTTGAATTTAGAAAAATTAGATTTTGTAATGAATTCAATTTTGACTTGCAGTTTAAGTTATAACGCTTGTAAGATAAAAAATTTTAGGGATTTTCATATAGGCTAACACACATTTCAAAACAAGATTAAAAGTGAGACAAGAAATTTATATTGATATCATAATAGATAATATTACAATCAGTGAAATTTAATATCAATACACTTATACTTTTAACTTAAAACATAAAATTTAAAAGCTAACACATCAAAATGAAACTAACACATAACTAAAACATACACATCACAATCTATCACATCACAATCACATCAACTCAAGAAGACCATAAGTAAGAACATGAATCACTATGATGGGCCCTGATCTGGAGGAGGAGGTGGAACACTGAAGAAATTAAAATAACTACTTATCATAAGCATATTGGAACTTATATCATTTATCTTCACATTCATATATCCCATGTCCTGATTGTACTGAGCATTCTGCTGTTGTAAGTGGGTTTCAATTTGATCAAATCTTTGATCAAAATGACTCTCTAAATGATCAAATATGTGAACACCAGCAGTTGTAGGTACATGTTCCTCCTCTGAGTCACTAATAACATGATGTTTAGGTGGTTCATCTTTATTGAAGATTGCTCTAAAAGATCCATCGTTGTAGTAGAGAGGTTCTTCAAAATCTTTATCTGGATGAACCAAATCATACTTCTTTTCCAAAATGTAGGCAGCAAGATGTCCTAAGGCAATATTCTTCTTTCTTTATGGGCGACATAACCAATTTTAGAAAGTCCATAAAGATAGTCAAGGATTAGTTGGGCTTCATCTATAAGTTGGTCAGTCATAATCAAATAGGTCACGATAGAAAGTAGAGGCGTAATGTTTACTCGATCACCAGTTTTAGGTATAATAGAGGTTTGAAAGGGATATTTGAAGTGATGACATTTGAGTTCAAAAGCTTTTAATTTAATGAAAAATGTGTTTTCGTACAAACGAAAATAATTTCGTCCTGTACGAATTTTAGTTCGTGCCGTACGAACAAATTTCGTATGGACGAACAAATGAGTCCAAAAATGAAACGAATTTTTGTAATCACACAAGTAACGATGCGTCCTTTCGTACAGACTTTTGACCAAACGATCGTACAGACGAACAGGTGTTCATCCTGGATGATCAGAAAATTGAAGATCATTTTAATGGCAATTGAAACTGTCCCCCACATCGAATCGCCAAGCATTCGTCTGTTCGAACCATAGGTTTGTACGTACGATCATACATAATAAAAACTACCTTATCCATTTAACTATTTTCATTCGTACAGACGTTTTAAAATTTCATCTTGACGATCGTGATGATCGTATAGACAAAGTGAAAAATAAAAACTAAAAAACTGTACGCAAACCATTCAAATCTTATAGTTAACACACTACACAATTCATCCCGTACGAAAATAATTTCATCCTAGATGATTTTCACTCAATTTTTTCAAAACATGCACTCAAAAAATCTAGATGTGAAAATTTTCAAAACTAAAACACTAACATAATAAAAAAATGATAGAAAAACCCATAAAATCACAAATACAGAAAATCAAAAACTCAAAAATACACACAAAACATTAACTAGAAAAACACACATCAATGTTGTAGAATCATTTTAATTAAGCATTCAAATCGATCACACCAAGGTAGTTCTTGTTAAGATAGTTGCTATTTACATGCTTTACATTTTTGCAACTTATGTAGTTTTGATGATTCCAAACATTATTGTTCAAATGTGTAGTTCTCTCCTAACAATTTTTAGAAGAATTGTATTTGCTCTTGTGTGTACTAACATTTCAGGAAAAATAAACTCCAGACTACGAAGACTTCAAATTAAATTCAGCATGAGATACTTTGTAAAATTTGAAGCTTGCACTTTTCTTAGAAATCAAATTGAAAGGGAGTGATTGTAATTTGAGTGAATATAAACATACACACACACATAAGGAGATCATATAAAATTTACTGATCGTACGGGACGTGATTTACAGTTCGTACTGGACGATCAGACAGTTATCTCCTATTGAGCACATGGAACGAATAGGAACTGGCTTGAAAAATTTT